TTTTTATGGGTTTTGTGCTGTCTAATGGGAACTTGGGGCGTGCCTGTCATGGCAGTCTATTATTTGGGGCTGTCAATGGCAAAAAATGTAAATTTAATGAACTTTTAAATGTGGTTTTCTCTTTTTTTTTTTTAGTTTTAAGTGGGAGTATATTTGTGTTTTTGGGCTTTTTGGGTCTATTAGGCTCTATTTCATTGGTCCAGGTGTTTGAACAGGTCAAGAATGGGTCTGGTATCAACCATCCCTTTTTTGAGGTTTCAAGTTGGGACAAATGAGGTGGCAGTTCGATCTAGCACGTCGAAATGACATCTTCCTAGTTTAACGGTCAAACGGGTGAATTAAGACGTGAAATTTGACATGCTAGGGTTTTTTGGTCTCTGAACACAATGATGATGTCTGATTAGCCTAATAGGATTGGGATGATGGAGGTATATGGCTATCAAATCCAGATTAATGAGATTTGTAAAAATAAAATCTTTGCTTGATGAAGGGTCAAACATGAGAGTTTTGGGATGAAATTTGGTGGGTAGACATTTTTTAACATCCTAAATCTGATAGAGGTGGTGGATCTTTGATCAGAAGAGTATATTGATAGATTTGGTTTGGGTGTAGGTTTTAGCCAGTGGTTTATCAATTACTAAGAAGGCTTGAAATGGAATCTCACTTTTTTAACTATTAAATGGAAGAGTTTAGTCATGAAATTTGATGTACGAGGGTTTTTTGGGTCTCTAAACATAGTGGTGAGGTCTGATCAGTCAAATGAAGCTAGGATGGTGGATGATAAACTCTAATCGATGAGATTTGCTGAAAGAGGATCTAAGCTTGATGGTGAGTTAAACAAGGGATTTTTAGAATGAAATTTGGTGGATAGGCACAGATTAAGGTGAGGAGTCAAGTGGATGGTTCCAATCTAAAAGAGAAATGGTTAATCTAGGTTTTCTAAACCAGGACCATTAGAATGAAATTTTGGCACTTTCAAGGTTGATTATTGTAGACTTATAGTGGGACTCTCTAGTTGATTTATCTTAGTGGAAATGGATATGTTAGATCAAGGCCATGAGAAAGGGAGTTGGCGTTATGACTGGTGAATGTGTGACTAATTTGTAGTTTCCTAAGTTTATAGGCTATATTCGATTGAACGTTGATGTTGATATTGAGGTTTTCATTTGTCATATGGATTGTGACAAAAGAGGGATTTTTGGCTTTGTAAAATCTCAATTTGATCTAGTTGTGTTTTCAAGTTTTGGGGTCTAAGAGTATAGTACAAATAGGTATAGTAAAGGGATCGAGCAAAAAATGAGTGATTACAACTGGCCCCTCTTTGTTGGAGGTAGTAACTTGTCTAACAACAAAGAAAAAGAAGCACATGAAGATTTTTGTGAGAGACAACAGGTCACGGGAGGAAATTTTGTTACTGATATTTTAGTCAAGGTTGAAGTTGATGTAGTGCAAGGCCTTTGATTGGAAGGTATAGTACCATCCTAAGCCCTATAAGGCAATTGCAGCTATCAAACAAACATATGAAGAACACAGTGGTGCCATCCTAGAAATAGCTAGCATTAGTTGATGATTAATGTGTCAATTTGAAGGATTTGATAGAGTTTAGAAATTTGTTATTTGATGTAGATTGTTAAGTTTTTATGGATTTTAATTTTTGGGTAGTTGATGTGTTTAAGTTCAAATTTGTTATTTGATGAAAGCCCATGGATTTTGATTCGATAAAGCTTATTGGGTTTTTATGGGTTCTAATTTTTTTTTAGCTTATAGGTTTTGATCTCTAAGATTTTGAATTTTGATGGTTGATGTTGAAGCTTGAATTTGTTATTTTATATACTTTGATAGTGACGTTACGAAGTTCAAGTTAGTTATTTTATTTTAATATTTGATGGAAGTTTACTAAGTTAATATGGATTTTTATTTTTTGATTTGAATTTTTACGGGTTTTGCTTTTTAGAAAACAATTTTGACAGAGGTCCTGTGATTGCTATAGTGCATGTTGTCTTTTGATAGGTAACAAAAGTCCTTAAAGTCTGAACAACTTGTGCATTAAAACTTTGATTAAAATTGAAGTAAGTCTAATGCCCCTAATAATGGTTAAGACTGGTTTGAGGATAGGGTGGTCTGGTCATAAGTTATCAAGCTTATTGCACTTCTGGCCATATTGCCATGTATTGGGAGCAAAAGTTTTTTATGATTTATTGTATGAGTGGGAAAGCTATCAATTGATTTGCCTAGAGGCAACTCATACGAGGTGAAGGATTTTTGCATTTCTATTATTAAAGAGAGAGTTTTAATGAGAGAGAAAGAAATAGAGAAATAGCATTTATATTATTAAAGAGAGAGGGGGTGATGTAAGGTCATTTAGGTATTTTAGGCCCCCTTAAAGTAATAAAATATTATTAAATTAATAATAAGATAATAATAAAATAATAGTACTATAATAAAATATTACTAAAATAATAATAGCAAATAAAGATATTAATTATAATAATGTATAATACAATATATTTTGGGGTAGGAAAAATAATTTTAGTTATAATAATATTACTACTAACTAAGTAATAAATAAATAATAAAATAAAAATATTAATATTAGTAATTAAAAATAAAACATTAATATAAAGTATTCATTATAAATACTAAGATATTAATTATTAAAGACTAATAAAATAATAATAATAATAAAAAAGTACTAATAAAATAACAAAATATTAATAAAATTTTTAGTTGACTCCAATTCAAACTCCAAATGAACCAAACAACAACAATCGAAATCCAATAATTATGTATATATATATATATATTATGTATAACTATATAAAGTTTATAGTTGATAAATTTAATATTTTATATTTATATACATTCATTATACATATATACTTTAAAAATAATTTGTTTTTTTATTTTTTTTATTTTTTGTCATTTTAAACCCAATAAGATGGTTGTAGACTAAATTCTAAGATGATATAAAACCAAATGTAAATAGCAGATGCGAATGTGGAGCTAGATTTCATAATCGAATGCAAATGTGGATGTAGTTGGTTTTGATCTGAATCTAAACCATTTACAATCCTATTGTCTACATTTGTGTGGGGTTGGTGTAGGTCTGAGCTAGACCTAACTCAGAAGAAAATAGTTGTTTGAGCTCGCAAATTTGTTGGTTTAGCCGGGTTTAGGCTAAGTTATAAGTGATCATCCCTAAGTAGGAGTCTTAAAAGACATTTATAATTAGGTCATATTAGTTTTAATATTTTAATTGAATTTTATAGTTTTTATATGGAATGTAAGTGGTTTCGTTTATCAGTTTTAATAATATTTTACATTTTATTATTATTTTATGAACTGCTAATTTTTATTAATTTATTAATTTTTAATAGTTGTTAGATAAAAATTTACTAAAATTTAATTTTATTTGTTATGTTTCGAGTTACAGTTTTATGACAATTAACCAATTAATAGGATTATTCAAATATGAATAGAAATGATAATATTCCCCATCCCATTAGGTACCCAGCTTTCTTGACCCGGTGGGGCTGAGGATGAATATTAACTTGGTAGGGACGAGAACTTTTCACAGTCTTAAACCTTGAGTTTGGACTTAGATTAATTTAATTATGACTAGAAAAGTTAATCTATAGATTAATTTAATTATAACATTTAATAATTAATAAAGTAAAATAAATAAAATAAATCACTAACAAATAATATGAAAAAAAATAATATAACAAATTACTAAAATTATTAATATAATTATCAGTTTACATTGTTTCACTTTTCCTTGATAAATCCCGTGCATCGCACGGGTCCTTGCTAGTTGTTTTAATATATATAGATATAGATTTGGGATTTAATGGGACAAGAAAAGATGTTATTGACATTGATTATTAGAGAGAGAGAGAGACTTACTGGTAGGATTAATAATGGATTTTTTAGAAACAATTAAGATTGGGAGAGGTTTTTTTATTTTATTTTTTTTTATATTTTTGATTTAATTTAAAAGTAACTAACCATGTATGAAATGAGAATATATATATAAAAGAGAGAGAGAGAGAAATTTTTCATTGAATTTCAGTGCACTTAAACTCTAAATTCAATATTTCAGCTGATTATTTTCATAACCTGTAAAGATTAAGTAATAACATTCTATTCCAATCAAGAAAGTCCAAAGAGGCTCTTATATAGCTATCGTGTTTTTAAAGACTCAATTATTAAGCTGGGGTAGTTGAAGATTGAAGATCCCAACTATAATGCAATGCCTCTCTTTTCTATTTTCTTGTTGGTGAATAAGTTTGCTCTACTTGCAATTCATACATCAAAATCAAAGGCCCTCTTACCTAAACATGTTGTCTTCAATTATAAGCTATTATTGAGTATGAAGGTAGTGAGGGTGATGATGATGCCATTGGGACCCACACACAAATGGAGAGAGAGAGATTAGATCTCTTCCATGGTGGTCTGGATGTGAATCCAAGGCAAGTTGGGGTAATAGATTTTACCCTTGTGAAGGAATTCATGTTTTGCTACAAACAACAGTTGTAAACACATCAGCTACCAAACCCAATCAGAAGCGAACACATCAGCAACCCATATTGTTGTCAGATGTATCAGCAACTAACAGTTTTTATTTTTTTTTATATTTTTGGTTTTGTAACTCACATGAGTTGATTTTACAATTACACCAATCAAGCAATGACTCCCACAAATCAAAGAATATGAATTCACATCAACTCCAACCACGGTGGCAGCACTTCTGTATGTGTGTGTGACCTGACCTCTGTTTCTGTACATGTCAGCGATGGATCATGGAAATGAAAATGAGACCGGATCTGCTCCTAACACATGGCGCCTCACACCGATTTCACTGGCACATTTCACCGTGTATTGAAAATATTTTTCGTATTTATGTGTTATTATTATTTAGGAGAAATATTTTTAATGGACGGTGGGATGTGCCTGTGTGAGGCGCCCTTTGAGTAGCAGATCCCAATTCAATGAAAATAAGCCGATTCGAAACATAGTGTGTTATGCTTTTTGATTTCCATTGTAGGCGTGCTTCTGTGATCTATCTAGTGTCAGTGTCACAGACTCACAGTATTTGAAATTTTGAATTGAACATCAAAATAATTTTGGTCGGACATTTAGCCGAATCCCCCGACTATCATCTCTCCCATTTTCCCAAGTCACACAGTCTCAACCCCGTTTCTGCCACCACGTCTCCTCTATTCCTTGCTTCTCTGCTCAAATTTCAGTTTCTAAAAGTTTCAACCACTGAGCGGGAGGGAATGTAGAGAAGCTCAGAGACAACAGAACAGACAACCCCCGTAAAAAATGCCGAGCCCAACATCACCTTTACCCACCACCACCCTCACCACCACCGGCGCCACCGCCAGCAAAGAAACCCGGATTCTGTATTGCCTCCTAGCCATCTCTCTCTTATCACCCCTCTTCATACTCTCCTTTTCTTCTTCCTCTACCACCACTCCCGCTTCTTCATCTGGGTCTTTTCCATTTGCCTTTTCAGGGCATCATTTTCAATACAAGCAGCTCATTTTGCTTAATCCAAATCAAGCCGACCACAGCTCACTCACCCCCAAACCTCCTTCCATCGCTTATTTCATCACGGGCTCCAATGGGGACTCTCAGCGCATGCTCAGACTTCTCTTCGCCATCTATCACCCAAGAAACCAATACCTCCTCCACCTCGACCTAACCGCTCCCCAGTCCCAACGAGACGAGCTCGCTGTATCGGTCCAATCCGTCCCTGTCTTTCGTGCCGCTCAGAACGTCAATGTCGTGGGCAAAGCCGACTTCGCTTACTCCCGTGGGTCCTCCGCTGTTGCCTCCACTCTTCATGGTGCTGCCATTCTTCTCCGCTTTTTTTCCGACTGGGATTGGTTCATTAACCTCTCTGCTGCCGATTATCCCCTTGTCACGCAAGATGGTGTGTGCCTTTGAAAGAATTTCTGCCCTTCTATTGGTTGATTTTGATCTGTGGAAGATTGTTTATTTTGTTGTGTTTGAAATCGTTTATCTGATCTGGGTTTTGTAGATCTTCTCCACATATTTTCCTTCTTGCCAAAGGATCTCAATTTTGTAAATCACACCAGTCACATTGGGTGGAGAGAGTAAGACATTAGAGCAGTTTCTGAAAGTTTTAACATTGGTTATGTTTTGTTTTTGGTTTTAAAAGAAAAGAAATAGGTGAAGTTTCTATCTGCTAATATGAAAGATATGAAATGTTCTTGATGTTGCAGATCCCGGAGAATGAAACCAATCATTATTGATCCAGGTTTTTATCTCACAGCTAAGAGTGATATATTTTATGCAACACAGAAGAGGGAGTTCCCAAATGCCTACAGATTGTTCACAGGTTAGTATTTGTTCATACATCTACTTTTAATGAACTGTAGTATTTTATAGTCCATATACAAATTTGAGATGTCAAATTCATACATATTCATAGTTTGGAAGGTGTAGGATATCATCGAGCCTTCTGAGATTAATATATTAGCCACTGTGTAAGATTAAAGTTTTATGAGCATATTGTCAATAATGCTTCAAATGTTGTCAATAATGCTTCAAATGCTTTAGATAGTTGAAATATGCGTAAGATATTCCTTAATGCCAGTGTTCTCTGATTTGGGCGGAGTAAATGAATAACCAAATGCTTTTGCTCGGCAGTAGAAAAAAGTTAAGCATGGGATGGCATGGCCATCTAGTTTGTGTATTTGAAAGCAGCATCCAAATAGATACTAAAACTCTATCAAACATTTCTATTGTTGACTCCCTAATGATGCCAGCTTTGTGTGCAGTAGTCATGAAGGCTGCATCTGACATGCTTTCAGAGGAGAGTGCTGTTGTTGAGTCGGGAAGGTCTTCGTCTTGGGAGAGTGGTGCAGAAATAACTGATGGCAACTTCTGGTAGTGAATACAAAACAAGTGTGATGGTACAACCTGATTCCATGGCTGTACAAAAGACATTGGTTAAACTTAATGGTACCAACTACGTGCCATGGTCAAAGTAGGTGGAGGTAAATTTGACGGCGAGAGGAAAGTTAAAAATTGAAGAAAACAAACCAGACCCAGGAGTTGTAGTGTATAATGATTGGATCCAAGAGAATGCACAGATTATGACATGTCTTTGCAATAATATGGAACCTCATATCAATGTGAACTTGATGTTCTTTGATATTGTAAAAGAAATTTGGGAACATGCCAAGCAGTTGTATTCTAGACAAGACAATGTAACTAGAATCTATCAATTGTATCGGGAGTATTTTCAACTACAACAAGGTGATAGGAGTGTGGAAGAGTACTATGCTTGCTTGAAGAGTCTGCGGAATGAGTTGGATTCGTATCAGCCTCTTTCGATTGATCTTAAAGTGCAAAAACAATAGAGAGATCAGTTGGATGTGTCGAGTTTTCTTTCCTGATTGAGGTCTGAATTTGAACCAATGCGTGCCTAGATTTTAGGTAGCAGTGACATAACTACACTATCAAAAGTTTTCTCCAGAGTAAGAAGGGATATGAGTCCACATACAGATAGCTCTCCAGTATTAGAGAAGTCTGCCCTAGCCGCAACCAGAGGTGGTAGAGGTGGCTCATGTGGTAGAAGTAGCTATCCTCAGAGGGGGTAACCGTGGTGTGAGAGGAGGTTACAGTGGTGGTAGAGATGGGAATTTTAGAGGTCGTGGTGTCAGTGTTGCTGGTTGAGGAATGATCAAAGAAAGCAACTATTGTGGACGGGAAGGACATACTATGAACTATTGTTATGATTAGCATGGCCCACCATCTATTTGCGAAATTTCGCTAATGTTGCTTGACATATGTCGATGTCGAGGCTCACTGACATGAAAATGGATGGTAATATAAAAATTACATTATTTCGGTCGACATTTCCTATATTTCGAAAATGTTGACCAAATCGGTCCAAATAACAAAAAAAAGACAGTTTTAATATATTAGTATATTATATTAATATAATACAGTATATTAAAATAAATTATTCTATTAATAATTTCTATTTAATATTTCAAATAAAATATTTATAAAAAAGAATTAACAA